TAGCTCATCGGAGAAAGGTCCAGGATGCATAGGCGGCACATCCATGTCGTCTACTGTAAATTAAACAATATTAATTGTTTGTTTGTTTTGAAAATTAAATAATTAATTTTTAATTGGACAGCGTATATATCTATAGGTTCCAGACTCGATATTTGAGGCCCAGTAGCACCAAGCTATCTTGAATTCTTATGTGTGTCAATTTCAATTTTTTTCAAAATTTTGTGTGTTTGTTCTATAAATTAAATAATTAATTTTTAATTGGACAGCGTATATATCTATGGGTTCCAGGCTCGATATTTGAGGCCCAGTACCACCAAGCTTTCCTGAATTCTTATGTGTGTCAATTTCAATATTTTTAGAATTTTGTGTGTTTTTTTTTTTTGTAAATAATTAATATTTAATTATTTAATTGGACAGAGTATATACCTATGGGTTCCAGGCTCGATATTTGAGGCCCAGTAGCACCAAGCTTTCCTGAATTCTTATGCGTGTCAATTTCAATATTTTTAGAATTTTGTGTGTTTTGTTTTTAAATTAAATAATTAATTTTTAATTGGACAGCGTATATATCTATGGGTTCCAGTCTCGTATTTGAGGCCCAGTAGCACCAAGCTATCTTGAATTCTTATGTGTGTCAATTTTAATTTTTTTCATAATTTTGTGTGTTTGTTTTATAAATTAAATAATTAATTTTTAATTGGACAACGTATACTATGGGTTCCAGGCTCGATATTTGAGGCCTAGTACCACCAGGCTTTCTTGAATTCTTATGTGTGTAAATTTCAATATTTTTAGAATTTTTTGTGTTTGTTTTGTTTTGTAAATAATTAATATTTAATTATTTAATTGGACAGAGTATGTACCTATGGGTTCCAAATTTGATATTTAAGGCCCAGTAGCACCAAGCTTTCCTGAATTCTTATGTGTGTCAATTTCAATATTTTTAGAATTTTGTGTGTTTGTTTTGAAAATTAAATAATTAATTTTTAATTAGACAACGTACATATCTATGGGTTCCAGGCTCGATATTTGAGGCCCAGTAGCACCAAGCTTTCCTGAATTCTTATGTGTGTCAATTTCAATTTTTTTCATAATTTTGTGTGTTTGTNAAATTTGAAAAAAAAAAAGAATAATCTGAAGGAGAAAAAAATATAGAGATGAATACATTGTTGTCTTGTTCCTGCTAGTGGTTATGAATTAATATAGTGCTTAAAGAAAGAGGGAACATTGTTGGGAGTGATTTTAGTTGTGAAATTGAAGTTGGGATTGAAGAATTTGCGCTTAAAGTTGATTATGTGGTGTGTTAAAGTGCTTAGGAGGGTTAGTCACTATTCCTAAATATATCCTACCCGTCCCTTAGCCCACATTACAACCATGAAAAAGTCCTAATTGATTTTAGATCGAGCGAGCCTACATTAGTAGAGATTTACATTATGGGAAAGCCTATGGTACCAATTACATGCATGTGACTTCTTTTGTGAGGGTGAGCGATATTTTCTTTGATATATATGAGTCCTTAAAATATATTTTATCATGAGATTCAATGTGTGGATTCAACTTACTCTCTTGCCTTGGTTGTGAGGGCACATGGTTTCACGAAGGATAGGTAACATTATTAGACTTCTCTAGGATGTTGGGTGATCAAGCCATGAGTTCATTGTGACATTGAGTCGGTTTTTGAGGCTAGGATTGTTGTGAGCATATTGTCTTTGTTTCAATAGTTTTGAAGAATGACATAAGTAAAGGGAAGTGTATGATGATTGCATATGCTAGAGTTTAATTGTTGCTATCAACCATAATCATTGGTATAGTGTGCTTCAAATATGTTAAGTGCTCATAGATAGAGTAAATTTTTGGCTGACTCGAGGACGAGCAACGTTTAAGTGTGGGGTGTTGATGATAGGCTATAATTACGTATTTTAGTCGCTTATTACACTCTAATTTACTGCACTTTAATTGAGTTTGAGCTTTAATCGCTAGTGTTTTGCACTAATTGTGTGTTTTATGCCTTGTAGGAGTGATTCCGAGCTATATAGATGTTATGGAATGAATTCAAGTGATTTGGAGCTTTAAATTTTGAGTAAAAGTTCAAGGAGTTAAGCCGGGATCGTGTTTGGGGGTCAACGGATGATAGTTAGAGCGAACGAAGACTCCAGTAGGCAGATTGCGCACTGTCTAGTAAAATAGACATAACTTTTTGCTCAGAACTCCATTTTGGCTCCACAATATATGGTTGGAAAGCTAACTCAAAGGGCTACAACATTCATGTTTTATGTTTTTCCAAATCCGGAACGGAACAGGGTGAAAAGTGCGCGCTCAAATGCGCGGCCGCGCTAGTTTTAGCGCGCCCAGAAACAGAATGTCAGCCAATTAGCACGCCCAGATGCGCGGTCAAATGCGCTGCAGCGCTAGTTAAGCCCGGGAGAAGTGTCCTTTTTCACATTGGAGAGGGTATAATTGTTTGGGCCTAACCCTACTTGGTATATATACATAGGAGAACGTTTTTGAGAGCAATTTTTGACCAAGGAAGAGCACAGAGCCGCCGTGGAGACCGGGTTTCATCTTTTCTTCCACCAACTTTGTCTTTTTATGTTTCTTTGTATGATTTGTTGTTTTTCTACCATGTCTATGTGGAGCTAAACTTCACGTTCTAGGGTTGTGGTTCTTTCATGACTATTGTTATTCGGATATTGATTTTGATTTCTTAGTTTATCATATTGGTTTATTTATTCAATCCTGCACTTACTTATTTGATTGTTTGATCACCAATTGAATACTATCTACGAATCTAGAGTTGAACTCGAAAGTGGGAATTCTAGATTGCATATAGGATTGAGTAGAGCAAGTTCTTGAACCTGGGCCTCGGGAAACGGATTAGCGGTTAGGATAGACATATACCTAATTGCCTTGCTTGGTTGATTTACAGGAATTATAAATGCGTTCTTGTTGATTCTAATTCCATAGACATATAGGAGTTAGGTTAGCTTGAATAGGCGAGTAAGAACTCGACAGATTCTTATGAGCAATATTAACCCTGTCAACCAATAAACTAGATAAATTGGTTAGTCAATTCAATTGAAGAATAGAATAGGAATGTTAGATAGCCCATAACCCTAGATCGTTTTCAATACATTGATATCATAAAAATCTGCTCTTTCTCTGTCCAAAGTTCATTATTTGTTTTTGTTTATTTTAATTAGTTTAGAATCAAATATTTCTAGGTTTAATTCTTGTTTAGATAATCAGGATAGTCTAATTTAGTTAATAGTTAATCACAAGTCCTCGTGGGATCGACATCCGACTTTTAGTCACTTTATTACTTGACGACCGCGTATACTTGCGTGTGCGTTTGGCCGCAATAATAACGCAGTATAATACCGCGCTATACTTCAACGGCAGAAACACCGTTAAACTATAGCGCGGTAAAATACCGCGTTATATATAGAAAAGTAACTTTTTTTAGGCAGTAGAAACGTATTAAGTCCAAAAGGTTAGCATTTAGGTTTCGGACTCATCAACAGGTCATGTGTTTGAGTCGTGAAATTATTCGCTAATCATTTGTATTAGGATAGATTGTTTATATCACATCCCTTGAGGTGCGATGCTTCCCCTTATCCTACGTATATACCTTCGGTATAAGTTCCAATATTTATAAATATTTAATGAATTTCTTAATATATATACAAAGTATAAACAAAAACTACTACATTCACTTAAATTGTATGTTACATGCTAGCTCCGCCTATGAGTCATATAATGTGAAAGAAAAGACCTGATGTTCTTTAATTCTTTATTCTCCTGTCAATCATATAATATGAAAGAAAAGACTTGCCAATGTAAAGATATTAGATATGCAAGTTGCAACAGAGAGAGTCTATAATGGAAGAGGTGGTTTACAGTTGAGTCTCAATAGATTTTTATTCAAATGAATCAACATATTGTAATTTTGTTATAATAAACAACATTCTTTGATAAATAATACAAAATAAACATCAATTTATGATAAGTAGTAAAGTTTTAAATATCTACAGCGCTAGTTCCAACTTTTATTCAAGTTGAGTTGTGATAATAGGTCGATACTATAGAAAATAAGCAACTAAAACACGAATGCACGTGGCGATACGAGTTAAGGCAGAGTATTATTTGGAGTCTATGAAGTTTTATTGTTCTAGTGCAAATACATAATTCTTATATTATTGGTTTTTGATACTCCTATTAGCTTTTCTACTAATATAATTGGTTAATTATGAAAAAGCAAAATAGCCTTTGATCATCAACTTGAGTTAGTAATTAGTACAAGGGGTAAAAATAGCACGGTCTAGCCAGTTTTCGGACTGGTCATTCAAAAATAGCCAGCGATTACCAAGTCAATGAAAAATAGCCACTATTTTGCTGCAACAGAGACCGGTCCAGCATAATATACTGGAGTTCAGTGCACCTGTGTATGAACTTCCAGCATAATATGCTGGAACTCCAACACGCGGAAAGTTCCAGTATAATATACTGGAGATTCGAGCACTTGTGTATGAACTTCCAGCATATTATACTGGACCGGTATACTTTGCTGGAACTCCAGTATATTATGCTGGAGTTCTAGTGTACTTATGCTGGAACTCCATCATATTATGCTGGAGTTCCAGCATACTTATCCTGGACCTCCAGTATAATATGCTGGAGTTCAAGTATACTTATGCTGGAACTCCAACATAATATACTAGCATATTTTTCGGGTTTTCAACAATATTTTCGCGCAGATTTATCTTTACATGAAAAGTGGCTAAATTTCGATTACTTTTGAAATTGGGCTATTTTTGAACGACCACTTGTAAATCTGGCTATTTTTAAATTTCTCACGTACAAGGGAGTAGTCAAATCACACAATAGTCTTGTTATATATCTTGTTGTCTGGGCTTTGAATCCATTGTTATGCAAACTTTTAGTATTTATGTCTATTTTTGTTTTTTTGGGCTGATATGAATTTAAATGGAACAACATGATCAGAAATATTAATGTATCATGCATTAACACATATATATATATATACATTTTTTTTTGCCTATGTATACGCAGTTTGAGCCTAATATGATGGGATCAGTTGACACACAAAACCTGCCCTGAATCTGCCTCTGTTCACAAGACATAAATCTGTTTAAATTAAGATTACAAGGTAGTGTGCAAACATACAACAAAACGGAGAAACACCAATTCAACTTGAAAACATTGCATCTCCGCAGAGTACCAGAAGTGCGTGCTTAGCTTGAATTTTCACTGCACTCTGTCAAAGCTCATCTCCTTCATCGTCTCGTTGCTCATTTGCTTCCTGATTTGTAAAAATTTGCAGCACCAGCCGATGTAAATAGTATATAAGTCTAATGTCTCACTACATTCCTAATACAAGACTCGCTAATGAAGCAGATCCGGGCTGCTACTTCAACTTGTGCCCAAGCGTCATAGATTATCGAGTATGTGAAGGCATAAAGAATAATTCAAGAAGACATAAGGCTTGGAACCTTGCGAGCATACGCCAATACCATCACGAAATCCTTAGCTGATGAACCAACTGTTGCTGGAGCTATTTCTGAAACAGTAGTTTGTAGCCACATATCAACCAAATTACTCAGTTGGAGAGTGGGAACTACCAACTGCCCCATGTATCTAATCTCAACCTACAAGAGAAACAAAATAGTTAGCACAACATAAAAATCATCAATTGAGTAATGTTTTTGACATTGAGATTTAGTGATTTACTGTGAAAAGAACACTCTCTCTCTTCCTCCCTCAATCCCTCTTGTTTTTATTGATCGGCTACACTTGTCACCCACAGATACCTCCCAGACAAGTCTGATTAAGAATAACACATCCATTTATTTGATTCACAGTCAGAGCAAAAGTAAGCGTAAAAAGAGATTAGTTAATAAAGATGCTAAAACTCATCACAACCAAACACTAAATCTAAAAAATTTGCCTGCTCATTTTGCTATTCACTCGAGTCAAAATCACAATAAACTTAGCCCGACTTAATTTTTTGATATTGGTGGTGTCCGCGTCAAATTGTGTGCACCTCGACTAATCCACTGAACAGAAAGACAACCTATCCAATTGCAAGCACAGGTTGCATAGGTAAGGCTGCACAGCAGGGTTTGATTCGTAGACTCACACAAAGAGCCGTAGCCGGAGTTCAAAATTGATATCACACAGGTTGTTGCTCCTATGATTCAACCACTAGGCCATTTCCTCGGGACTCATTTTATTAACAACTAGACATAGTCCAACTCCATATGTTCATATATATCACTACAAAGTGCTCGGAACTACCACTTTTCAACTAGCCACAGCAAGGTGCACTAGTTCATTTTGAAGTTGGGGCTTACTCAAAATTTTCTGTCCCTTTGCATTATCCATAGATTTTCATACTCAACCAATTTTCTTGAACTCCAAGTTGTGAAACTGACAGACCAACATTACACCCAACAGAATAAGGAATTACAGGAAGTCATGGTCCTACATTATTTTTTCAAACTTCAAACCGGAATAGGTAGGACAATAAATAAATGCTAATGAAATTTATTGATTGCTAAATTTCCCCAAAAAAAAAAAAAGATAATTACCTCATCTTCGCTAGAAAGATCCAACTTCCTCGTCAAGTATTTTTGGATGAACGAAACTGGAATATTGCCATCCCTATAATAGAATGTAAAAGATGTGAATACAACCATGAGCTTTACCTTTCAGTAAAAGGCAAAAAAGGTGCATGTAGAGCTGCTTTATCAAATGCTCAAACTTAAGTCAACTTAAATCAAGCTCTAAGTTTGTCCTCCCAGCACAGTTAATGCAATCAGGTTGTTTTTTCTCTTTTAAATAAATTATAAATCTGAATGTACTCAGACTTATAGCATAACCAACTATGAAGATCAGCTCAAGTACTCTTGGATAGACACAAAGTAGTTACCATTATCTTTCACTTCTAGTTTTTGCATTTTTTTTTTTTTTTGTAGGAGAGATTGACATGACTTCCCCATAGCTACTTTGCGAAATTGGAGAAGAAGAAATGATACATCAAACCTCCAACTTCTTACTCCAAGAAGGGCATAAAATGTTACCAGGTTCAAGTATAGATTTTCATAATATAGATATTCTTTGTGCAAGGTAAATGTCTTGGTTAGAGCATAATACTAAACCTAGACAAAACGGTAGGACGAAGAAAATTGCTCTCGCTGCGGTATAAAATGCAATCACAAACAAACTTACTTTATTCTCAAGTAACTTGCAGAAATCTGGGGCAAGGGTGTATCTCCCTCCCTGAAACAGTTAATTTGAGAGTTATTAATAAAAATATTATATAGTTCAATCTCTACTCTATAAACAGATAAACAGAGAAGTACGGTAAGATAAAAGCAGATTCTTACTGGTCTTCAGAGGCCACTAATGAGAACCAAATTGGATTAGTCCTCCTGGAACATTTAAAACTGATCGAATCCAGCACAGTTTGTGCTGATACATTAAATTCTCCAAAAGTTGACGCTTTCTTTAGGCAAATTTTTCGCAACTTCTTAGGTTTTTCAGATTCTGGAGGACCAGGACCATATTCATTCTTGTCATCTTGGACTTTCAATTTCTGTCCATGTTTTTTGACTTTAGTTTTCCGGAATTGACCCTCATTGTCATGACAATGCGGACTTCCTGATTTGCCAATAGAACCCTGAGAAGTAAATGTTGAACACTTATTCTTGTTTGCTACTTCCACCAAACAATTCAAAGGGTTCCATAAATTAACTTTGCCTTCCCATTGCTCCGTGCCATTGTCTGTTTCTTTGTCCATTGTGGGATGGCTAGAATGCTCGGTGTTGGAATAATTCTGGAAAAATCATATGATTAACCAATATAATAATATCCACAGAGAAATAGGGATATCATTGACTAAAGAAAACCTTATCAGGACGAAAAAGAGACGACGGAAAATGCACAAATCATATATCATGCACATATAGCTCTAATGTAACACTTGAGCTTCAAGAATTGACTTCCTCATCAAGGACTCCTGCTCTATCATGTAGACCATGTGTGATTAGATTAATAGTATAGAGTATGCTTCCTAATTCTGACATGGTTAGAACTCTCAGTGTGTTCAGGTAATTTTTCTTATCTAAGAACTTTCTTACTTCATATATTCTGAACTTACCTTATTTTAAGTAGCCTAAACTCATGAATAAGGAGCTTCCCATTTAAAATTGAATTTTTGGTTACTGTTAAAAAGTCTTTCTCTTCTCTTTTTCTATGGTAACAGAGTTTGGGTAATGAATCCCTCTAAAACTCAAAATTTCAGGTTAATGTTTCATCTACTTTTTCCGTTACTCCTTCGCCCCCAATTCAAGCTACACTGATGATGTCCTGGAGATTCGCAAGACCATTCCTCTTTCCGGTGGTTGAGAACAGATTCCTCTCTGAATGTGATGCAAGAAGCACTTTCTTTCCGGTGTTCAGTTACCAGCAAGTTTGCGGAGGAAACGATTCTAAGACTACTTTTCTTTTTGGTGATTGTGCACTATTTACGACAATATTTGAACGAATCATGCAAATGATTGCTTCTAAACAATAATTTTCCTGGCACGTGGCTCTTAAATTTTTAATTTTGATTTGCAAACTCAAGTTGCTCACTACTTTGAGTTTGACGTGGGATTTTGAAAGTCAAGAGAATTAGTACAGCTATATGTTAAGAGTAATCTGGATTTAATATGTGTTTAAGTTAATAGTATAGGATATTCTTCCTAATTCTGCAATGGTTAGGAATCACGATTTTTTAGGAATTTCCCTATTTAATAGCCTTCATTATTTTATGTATTCTAGAATTACCTATTTGTTTTTCCTGAAGGGCAAGAATGGTGTGGGCATTTTGGTGGATAGGGAACTTAGAGAGTCTGTGGTAGAGGTTAGGCGGGTGAATGATAGGTTAATATCTATTATGTTGGTGGTTGGAGAGTGCATCCTAAATGTCGTTAGCGCTTATGCGCCACAAGTAGGCTTGGATGAGGAGGTTAAGAGGCGTTCCTAGGAGGGTTTGGACGAGATTGTGCATAGTATTGTGCCTGCTGAGAGGTTATTTATAGCAGGGGATTTCAATGGACATATTGGGTCGACTGTAGGCGGCTATGGCGAGGTGCATGGTGGCTTCGGTTTTGGGGATAGGAACACAGGAGGTACTTCGCTGTTGGATTTCGCTAAGGCATTTGAGCAGGTGATTGCGAACTCCAGTTTTCCGAAGGAGGAGGAGCATTTGGTTACTTTTTAGAGTACGGTGGCGAAGACTCAGATTGACTATCTTCTCCTTAGGAGGTGCGACAGAGGCCGGGTGAGACCCTCGTGACGCAGCATAGGCTCTTGGTGATGGACGTCGGTATCATGATGAAGAGGAGGAAGAGGACTGCACGAGGTCGATCAAGGATTAGGTGGGGAGCCTTGACTAAGGATAAAGCTCAGGAGTTGGAAGAGAGGTTATCGGTTGTGGGAGCCTGGAGGAGTAGTGGGGACGCAAGGGATATGTGGTCGACGACGGCGGTTTATATAAGGGAGGCGGCAAGAGAGATGTTGGGAGTCTCGAAGGGTTACGCTGGTGGGCTCAAAGGCGACTGGTGGTGGAATGAGGTGGTCCAAGGTAAAGTGGAAGCGAAGAAGGCGGCGTACCTGAAGTTAGTAGGGAGCACATGCGAGGTAGAGAGGAGTGCGAACATAGAGAGGTATAAAGTAGCTAGGAAGTAGGCGAAACTGGCGGTCACGGAGGCTAAGACTGCGGCTTTTGGTTGTCTGTACGAGGAACTAGGGTCCAAAGGCGGGGAGAAGAAACAATTCCGGCTGGCCAAGGCAAGAGAGGAGAAGGCTCGGGATCTGGACCAAGTGAGGTGCATCAAAGACGAGGACGGTAGAGTATTGATGGGAGAGGCACAGATTAAGTGGAGATGGAAGACTTACTTTCATAAACTTCTTAATGAAGAAGGGGATCGGGATATTGTGCTAGGCGAGTTGGGGCATTCCGAAAGTCACCGCGACTTTGGGTACTGTAGGCGCATGCGTAAGATGAGCAGGGGCAGAGCTATAGGGCCTAACGAGATCCCGGTAGAATTATGGAGGTGTGTGGGTAGAGCAGGTTTGGAGTGGCTGACTGGGCTTTTTAATGTTATTTTCAGGACGAAGGGGATGCCGGATGAGTGGAGGTGGAGTACGGTGGTTCCGTTGTACAAGAACAAAGGTGACATCCAAAGTTGCAACAATTATAGGGGTATCAAATTATTGAGTCATACCATGAAATTTTGGGAGAGGGTGGTAGAAGCGAGGGTGAAGAGGAAGGTGTCTATATCTGACAACCAGTTCGGTGTCATGCCGGGTTGTTCTACTACGGAAGCTATCCACCTTATTAGGAAGTTGGTGGAACAGTACAGGGATAGGAAGACGGATCTGCACATGATGTTTATTGATCTGGAGAAAGCGTATGACAAGGTTCCTTGGAGATGCCTAGAGGCTAAAGGTGTGCAGATTGCTTACATTAAGGCGATTAAGGACATGTATGATGGAGCTAAGACTCGGGTTAGGACAATGGGAGGCGACTCTGAGCATTTTCCGGTTGTTATGGGGTTACACCAAGGATTTGCGCTCAGCCCATTCTTATTTGCCCTGGTGATGGACGCACTGACACACCATATTCAAGGGGAGGTGCCATGGAATATGTTATTCGCTGATGACATAGTTCTGATTAACGAGACGCGGAGTGGCGTTAACGAGAGGCTGGAAGTTTGGAGACAGGCCCTTGAGTCTAAGGGTTTCAAGTTGAGCAAGACGAAAACGGAATATCTTGAGTGCAAGTTCAGTTCCGAGCCGAGGGAAGCGGGCATGGACATGAGGCTTGGATCGCAGGTCATTTCCAAGAGAGGCGGTTTCAAGTACCTTGGGTCGGTTATCCAGGGGGATGGGGAGATCGACGAGGATGTCACACACCGTATAAGAGCGCAGTGGATGAAACAGAGGTTAGCATCTCGAGTCTTGTGTGACAAGAAAGTGCCACCGCCACTCAAAGGTAAGTCTTATAGAGCGGTGGTTAGACCGGCCATGTTGTATGGGACTGAGTGTTGGCTAGTTAAGAACTCACATATCTAGAAGATGAAAGTAGCAGAAATGAGGATGTTGAGGTGGATGTGCGGGCACACTAGGATGGATAAGATTAGGAATGAAGATATTCACGAGAAGGTGGGCTTGGCTCCCATAGATGACAAGATGCGGGAAGCGAGGCTCAGATGGTTCGGGCACATACAGAGGAGAAGCCCGGATGCCCCGGTTAGGAGGTGCATGCGGTTGGCGTTGGTGGGTACGAAGAGAGGTAGAGGGAGGCCTAAAAAGTATTGGGGAGAGTTGATCAGGCAGGATATGGCGAGGCTTCAAATCTCCGAGGATATTGCCCTCAATAGGAAGCTGTGGAGGTCGAGCATTAAGGTTGTAGGTTAGGAGGTAGTTGAGCATATTTCTAACTCGTACCAGTGTGAGGCTACGCTAAGAGGACTTAGTCTTAGACTGCTAGTGGTCAATGTTGTGTTCACACTACTCTTCCGTTTTCTTAGTGTCGAGCCTTATTTGCTGGTTATTATTTTTGCTTTCCATCTATTTACTGGTTCTTGTGATGTTATTATTTCTATGAGGTTTTATTGATGGTACTGATATATTGTCTCTTTTCTTCTTCTTGAGCCGAGGGTCTATCGGAAACAACCTCTCTACCCCTTGTAAGGTCTGCGTACACACTACCCTCCCCAGACCCCACTTGTGGGATTTTATTAGGTCGTTGTTGTTGTTGTTGTAAAATTACCTATTTAAGGTTTGAAGAACATGACTTTACCTGCCTTTTATTCTGAGCAAACCTTTTCAAAGTCTCAGGTGAGCTAGAGCTATCCGGTTCTTCCCCAGAATCTTCCTCATTTTTAATTGGTCTTTCAACAGGAAAGGTGGAGCCCGGTAATACTTTTCTTGCTGCCGATTTTGATCTTTTTCCTCTCATTCCAGTTTGCGTGGATACTCTAGGAGTGCTGACCACCAGTGATGAAAGTGATCTCTCTTTCCTCCTAACTGGCAATGCAACCGAAGGCACAATTTCAGGCGCTTTCACTTTTCGCCTCTTATAAGGGAATATCTTTGCTCTTACATCTTCTAGGTTATGATCTGGCCTGAAAAATCATTCATAGCACATTAGCTACTTAAGCACAAAACAAGCAGCAGAACACCGTGATTCAGCTCAGTATTGTTAACGAAATACTAACACATCTATGTCCAGAAAACATGAAATGCTTAAGATGACTAGCATCTCTGTTTCTTTGAAGATAGATTACATACAGAATAAAAGCAGTGGAGGTGGGAGAATGCAAAAGGTCTTAACTCTTTAAGAAATTTGAACCTCAAGTGAGCATTGCGCATAGGCAAATTAATCAGAAATAATTTGAGTAACTAAGAAGTAAGGAGAGGACTCATGCACAGCCATGCATTTTAACTCTCACCAAAAAGAAAAAAGGTACAAACTAAATGGCAATAGCTTCCAGCTAAGATATCCCATCAAGAAGCCTCGTTGCTGACGGCAAGCTGCAGAGGAAACAGGGGAACAACACACTCTCTAAAACTGAACATCAAATACTTTTTCTTGTTAAATTTGATCAGCTTGCAGAATAAAGTTGCTTAATTTTGAAGAAATCTTTTACTAGTAGTTCCAGGTGGTGGACAAAAAGAAAATATTATGCAAAACAGAAGAGGTCAGATAATTGTCAAATTGAGTACTCAAGCAAACGTTTGATGTTAAGAACTAATAAAAAAAGCGCAAGGAGCTAGAAGAAAATTGTTACCTCAATTTCTCTAACGGGGCACAGCCTAAGTCAGTGTTGCATATTGGACAGCATTCCAATTCTTCATCAGAGAGCTTCTTATAGATGCAATTCCTGCAAACTAAGTGGAGTTCCACAAGAAAATTGTCAAAACAATTGTCATTCATTCGAAATAACAAGTACCACGTTCAAAATTGCTGAAATCAGAAAGCAAACTCCCACTTTTAAGAGGAAAGAGAAGAGTGTAAGAAATCAATCAAGCCATTCATCCAACAAGATGTATCAAACAACATATACTGATTAGGAAAATCAAAGCATGTTTCTTCTTAAAAGATGATAAAGAAATTAACCTTAGAAAATTGCATAAATAACAGGAATGTTTGAAAAAAAATTCCAATTGCTTGTGTGCTCTTTTTTTGTTGGAGCGACAAGCATATATTGACAGTTGAGGCCAAGGCTGGAGACGATTTGTCACTGAGATAACATTATTGGACACAATGAAATATAATAGAGATATCGGATAAGAATTAGATCTTTCCTTTTACAGAGTTGTGTTGAAGCTCAATTCTACATTATTATTCAAGTTGCTCAGAACTAAATATTGATCTCGCAGTGGGCAAAGTATTAACCAAAAAAATTCCACATACCTCCACTATTTAAGTTATATACAGTGACGGTGTAAAGAATCTTTTACACTATACATACTAAGCTTTTCTTGGGTAACCAACTCACTGGAACCATAAATAATCACTTAAGATTTAACTTATATACACTGAAAAGTAAAAGATTTTTACATATAAATGTTGTTTAACGACTGTTACAAATCCATACTTGCTGCGGAAAGTTACCTCGAATTGGCTTTAGAGTCATCTGATAATGTAAATATTCTTTACACTTCGTGTAGAAAAGTTAAACTCAATAACCTATAATTGGCTTTTATGTCAAAATATTTTTACACTACCACCATATATGACGTGGTTTTTATGAAATGAGATTGATCGAGCAGGTAGTCCGATCCCAATTATTTCATAAAGGAAATATATTGACCTTATATACCAACTACCCTCGATTCTCGAATCATTCAAATACCCAGCAAGCATGGAGGTGTACATAGTTCATGTAAAGCAAAAGAATACTAGACTCCTCTTAACTTCTAAGCACATATGAAACATCCAAATGTTAGGAAGCTACTCCCAATGTTTCCTTTTATATGACATTATTCCTTATTAGCCCGTCAAAAAAAATTATATTTGAGAATAATATACTTTAAAATTTTCATTTTACCCTTAATGAGAAGCAAACAAATGCATGATATGTGTTGGGATGGTGTGAGCAAAAGTCCCGCATTGGTAGTTTAAAAGAAATGGAAGCTACATATAAGTTATAGGTATACTCTTAATGGCGTGAGGCATACTGTGGAAAAGTGTGTAGGCTTAGCCCAAATTGAACATTATCACACCATGTTAAGAGTATTTATTTTTTAGTTGATTTAGCCCAACAACATCTTTTAAGACCACAAGTTTCAAAAATTCTTAAACTCCATGCCGAAGTCAATCTAGGCAACATAAACCAGAAAAGATATACAATTTCAACTTCAACGACAAGCTTAGATAATAGAAATTGATGTAAATGCAGCAAACCCAAATTATGAAAAATAACTCCAATAGTAAAAAAAAAAAAAAAAAAAAAAAAAAAAAAAAAAAAAAGAACTTCAAAGCAACAAAACATTCGAGTGGCACAATGACCAACAAATCTAACCTCCTGCTTGGATGGTTGTTTCCCGTGGTTCATTATTGTATTGTTTTCATTGATACCATGTTTGTTTCCATTGTTCTTAAAATTATATTGTATGGTGTTGTAAACCCGTTATAACTCCGTTGTTATATAATCATGAAAAAGCTCAAATTTCACGAATTTGGTGGTTTTTGCATATTTACTCATAATAACTTTAAGGGGCCTTGGAACAAGGGTAAAGTTGTCTCCGTGTGACCTATAGGTCATGGATTCGATCCGTGGAATCAGACATTGATGCTTGCATCAGGTAGGCTGCCTACATCACACCCCGTTGGAGTGCGGTCCTTCCCCGGGCCTTGCGTGAATGCAGGATGCTACGTGCACCGGGCTGCCTTTTACTCATACAAATGTTATTAAACCACAACACACGATATTGTCTATGCAAACACTACATTCTACATTCATTAATGCAGTACAATACAACACAATATGATACTATACAACATGATACAACAACAACAACAACACAGTTGAATCCCACAAGTGGGGTCTGGGAGGATACTGTGTACGCAGACCTTACCCCTGCTCTGGAGGATTAGAGAGGTTGTTTCCGATAGACCCTCGGGTAACGACCATCCAAACAGGCCATAATAGATGAATACAGATAGAGAGAGGGAACTCACATGTATGAAGACATTCAGAAATAGTCGTAGCATCTCTCAAGAGTCTGTGACAAAGGGGGCAAGTCAAGCATGCCACAATTGTATCTCTTTTCACCTTCACCGCTTGATTCGACATTTCTCTTCTTTAAATTACTTATCAGCTCTGCTAATTGAAGTATAGCTTTGTCAAATACAAGAACCTCTTAAACCCTCGTGCTCAATCGGTGCATGCTCGAAATTAACACATTGGGACACATAAAATTTTGCGTACATTCCCATCTCTTTATTTGCATTAAATCTAATAACTGAATAACAAACCCAGAATTATCAAACATATATAAGTTGGTCCTATTTGCTCGAATACTGATACAACAGAGATAAATTTTGAGATTTGAGTAAATGGGTGGATTTGATTTGGGAAAAAGAACGAACGTGGGCGATGGATATGGGTAGCGGGGTAGGGTAGATCTGCGGGGGGGGGGGGGGGTGATCTCCTCTTCGGTGTGTATATATCTGTGTCGGGTTTTGGGTTTGGGAGTCGGAGATTCACAGGCTTGTACTTTTACCTACAATAACCCTTAGGCGCTGTTTGGTTGGCCTTTTAAAAAAATTAATCCAAGTATAAATTTTAGGCGCTATTTGGTTGTCCTTTTAAAAAAGCTAATCCAAGTATAAAATTTAGCAAACTAATTATAATGAGTCCATTACTTAAATGGATACTTAATTATTCAAAATTACCTAGTAAAGTTATGTTTTTTTTATTTGAAACAAAAAAAGTTATTTAGCTATGACTATAACATTCAGAAAGTTATCCAATCAGTTTTTTAAGATTTTTTGGTGGCTAAATACCCATTTTATCTTCTAGATTATCAATTTTTATCTTTTTATTTTTTACTATTATGATATTTTTTTTCTTTTTTAATTTATATTATAAACTTACCCGTAAAACAAATAAATCTTATTTATAAAGTAAAAATAGTTACTCAGCATAAACCCGAGTAATAATAGAGTTGGGACGGGTTACTATTAGTTAGTGGGTCGGATGTAAGGAATAAAATGAGAAGTCATGTGGCCTAATAATAAGTGAGAAAACTACACATTAAAAGGAGTCTCATATATTTCTGCGTTAGAACATTGTATGCAAAAATAAATGAAAGGTAATTTTAAACCATTTACTAAACGATAGGGGTAGTTTTAATCTTTTACCAAATATATTTTATATAATCAGTGCATAAAACTCAAACTTGAAAAAATATATTACGATAAGTTAGGACCCACTATCACAATGTTACTTCATACACTATACACTGACTTAAAAGCCTGTTTGGAACCAGCTTTTAAGCCATTTTTAGATATTGGGAGTGTTTGGCAAAAAAGAAAACAGCTTAAAAAAGTTAAAACTGGCTTAAAAACAGCTTGTATTGACAATTATTTTTATTGTTTTAAGAAGTTTTACTCCATATATAAATTTATTGGCCTCCCTTTTGGTTAGTAAAATAATACGTTGGTCTGTTATGGTTTTCAGGTTTGCCAGGACGTCCATTTGGTCTAAGCAACATTCTTCTTGGTTGGATCATTTGTGGAGTTTTTGGTTTGATTTGGTCTCTTTACTCTTCTAGACTTGATGAGGATGCAGAGTCTGGATTATCCCTTTAATTAAGTTTATTTAGCGTTACATCGAGTGATTTTATTTTGTGTCTCACACAACTTACACTAGTTGTGTGAGACCTCTTTTTATATCACATATTTGTGGACACATATCTTACACATTTGGGTCCACAAAATTCTGGGACTCACACAGTTGTGAGACAAAAAAGAGGCCTCATACAACTAGTGTCAGTTGTGTGAGGCACAAAATAAAATTTTTCTAATGCAATCACCTAATTAGAAGCATCGATCAATATGTGTTTTAATTTGTTATAATAGATAATTCATCTTCTTCTTTTTTTGGAATACCAATCCACTTTTATAGTCGTCGACTCGTCGTCTTACCAATCGACTCGGACACCAGATTGTCCGTGCCCGCCTATTTTGTTCCGCGCTAAATAGAATGGCTTTTTAAGTTGTGTTGCACCCGCCACGCCCCGACCCAGTTGAAGTTAGTTACTTGAATTTATTGCTTTTGATTCAAATTATTTATATATATATATATATATATGTATGTATACAAAAATCTAAAATATATACATAAGATCACACTCTTTCTAAATTACCTCGATCATGTATTCGCCTTTGGTGGAAGACATAGACACATACGACAGACATGCATGCAAGCATATATTGTCTCGTTGTTAATGTTACAGATTTTTTCTCCAAATTTTGATGGGTCATGAGGACATGCATGATATACAAAATACACAAAATTATTTTGTTCATATGCAAAATATATGGAAAGATTGGTTGACATTGCACATGAATATGCTCCATCCATTTGAGGGAATTAATTAATGAACTGCACTCATTATTGATAAACGAAATATATATACAGTTGACGGACAGAGATAACGTAGTTACGAGTTCACGTGAATCCAGTAGTTTTTGTCTGATTATATATGTATATTATAGGATTGTGAACCCAGTTATTATTATATATTAACTTAAGATTATTTTAGGAACCTATATAGACTTCAAATTCTCGAATCCGCGTCAGCGAGGCTTTAAGCAGCAACTTATACTGGCAAAATTATTAGGCAAACAATTCATAGGGACAGTTTTAAACAAGAAAGAAACAAGATCCTGGAGCACGAATTGTTAAGGTTTTCAGCCCTAGATATATTACAGAGATATGCTACACTCATTGTCTCCGTGTGATCTATAAATCACGGGTTCGAGCCATGGAAGTAACTACTAATATTTTCATTAAGGTAGGTTGTCTACAACACACCCCTTGACTACTTGAGTTGCGATCCTTTCTGAGACCCTACGTGAAACCGGATTGCCTTGTACAGCATGCATGTTGTACAGGACAATGCTTCACTTATTAATAAATAAATGCACATCACACTATTAATATGTTCATACCTATTCGGGCTATCACTGCTACAATCGACGAAATTCTGATTGATTATATAGTTATATTCATAAAAGAAAAGCACTCGATTTCTCCAGAGAAAGATCAAAAAGAGCATGATGTGGAATTTGCACGACTTCTTCAGCTTCTGTTCTTGCATTTCTCCATATCCTTAGGTGCTGAAGTTAAATTCAGACAATAATCAGTATTCTAGTCTAGATTCTAAGTAAACTCGAACTTGTTTAAACAAAGCAAAGGTAAGCATAAATAACACTATAATAAAATATATGTCATACCTAGTCCTATTGCTTCAGTTCCTTTCATGATGCGCAAACGCTTGCAAGATTCAACAAACATCCTGTTTCAAATCTCAGTAATAAATATTACTTGACAATCTAACAAAAATGATAATTAACCTACTACGATGTCGTATAAAAAGTATTTATATTGTTCATATGTGTATAACTTGAATTCTTGTAAAATAAACTTAATTAAGTTATAAGTGTATATTAACAGTGTAAAGACTTTTTACGCCATCAACATAATTAAATATATATATATATATATATATATGTTAATTATTATTTTTATGAGAGATCACCAGTTAATTTCTATTATAGAATTCACATGCAGTTTACAGGTGATATAATCGTATACAATATATTATAGTTTATATTGTCGGTGCATAATATTTGAACTTTTTAATATAATGAAATAGTTAGAGGTGTCAGAATTTTACCCCCAAGGGACATCGCCGACAAGCATCCAATCACCATCTTTGTCTTCAAAAGTAGGAACATAATTCAAAACGTCCATCAACTTTCTTTCATTCATGAAGTCTTTCATTCCTTGGACTTCACAGCTTCCTTTTAGTCGGTACAACATACATAATGTGTTAAACCAACAATTTAAAGTTCAGACTTCAGACACAAAAAGGATAAGATAGCTAAGAGCACAAGGTATTCTGCTTTCATGCATATTATACGGAAGGATTGTACTTCAAGGGATGTGATATAGACATATATTGATGAATTAGGAATTAAGATAAAGATTTGTGATAAATATTGTTAAAACTCTACAAAGAATTGAATCTATAGTAAGGAAAGAAGGTGCTTGTGGTGGAAGGGTTGGCGGTGGTATGGTGGTGGTGGTGAAGAAGATGCTGGGTTGGGAAGATGAAGGGGCGAGATTTTTTCTTTTCTATATTATTTTTCTTTGGGAAGATGAGGAAAGGGGGTGGGGGTGGGGGTAGGGGTAGGGGACAGAGGTTTTTTTTTTTTTTTCTAAATTTATGACACGTGTCAGATGCTGATTGGCGCGTGTAATAGCACTTTTTTAGCAGATGTGGTCAAATACCGAAGTGGTGTATAATTGACACACCTTCAAAATAAATTTTTGGTGTGTAATATTATTCTCGTATTTAACAGGTGTGTAAGAGAAATTTGGGGACAAGGTCGATGGGTAAAGTATGCATTTTGCCAATAAGCAATATCAGTCGGTTGTTATGTGCTGGAACGTGTCAACAAACCCAAAATTAAAGAGAAAAGTTATATACTAGCGAAATTCCTTGTCGCATAAGTAGCGACCTGCACGAATGGTGTAACGACTGCCCCGCTGTCTCCGACATGGACCCGGTGAAATTGAATTCTCCGTGAAGATGCGGAGTACCAACATCACTAGGAGATTATTATTTCACCTTGTTAATAGTAAGTATGTGTACACGTGGGAGTTAGTTAGACAATTAGTGGGAATGAGTTGTCTATATATAGGTGGTTAGCTCAATGTAACAGTACGCGTTTTTCATTTCAATTTTAATACAACACTCTGCTTCTTCTCTTCTCTCTCTAACTCTTTTATGGCATTATCAGATTAGGGATTCCATTGTTGATTCACTCGAACTTCTTCATGGTATCAGAGCGATAGAATCGCGATTGCGAGTTGAATTCGTTGATCATGTTCTATTCATAGCAATCTCAACCTTTGAATTGCAGTTTGTGTATAAGGATTAACAATGGCGGCAAAAACTGATCTTGACCATAATCACCCACTATTTCTTCACCCATTGGACACCATCAAAGCTCCGATCATCTCAATTCAGTTGACTGGTTCAGAAAACTATTCCACCTGGAGTCGTACGATGGAGATCCAGCTGTTAGGAAAGAACAAGCTAGGGTTAGTCGACGGTACTCTAAAAAAGGGGGATTTTGATACGGAACTAGGTCATCAATGGGATAGATGCAATGTTATTATCCTAGGGTGGATTATGAGCTCAGTATCAAAGGAATTGAGTACTGGAATATTATATGCAAGAGATACGAGAAAAGTGTGGGAGGATCTGTGAGAACGATTTGATAAAGTGAATACATAACGAGTGTATCAACTACACAAAGCTATAGCAACAATAACTCAGGGAACCGATAGTGTTTCAGTTTACTTCTCTAAACTCAAAAATTGTGGGATGAGTTTGACAGCATGGTTCCTCCTCCATGTGACTGTGCTAGATCAAAGAACTTCATCGAATTCATGCAAAAGCAGAAGGTATTGCAGTTTCTAATGGGCTTAAATGACAACTATGAGCAGGCTCGTAGCTAAATTCTTATGACCTGTCCAACACCAAGCATCAACAAAGCATATGCAATGCTTGTTGAAAGGGAATGTCAGAGGTCAGTAACTAATGCCTTTGTTGTTGGTGAAGGGATTGACTTGGCTGTTTTGCTAGCTGGTAAAGGAGGAAATTACCAGAATTATCAAAAACCAAAGAGAAACTGGAATGTACAATGTGATTTCTGTCACATGAAAGGCCATACAAAAGAGGGATGCTACAAGATAATTGGCTACCCTCAAGACTTCAAGAACAAGAAGAAAGGAAACACAAACACAGGTTGAGAATCTTAGCTCAAATTTTGCAGGCATTGATGATAGAATAGGAGAAATACCAGAGGTAATAAAAGAAGGAAACTAGCAAACAGCACCTCAACTCACAGCAGATCAGTATGATCAGATCATGAAGTTGCTCAACAAAGATCCTTCAAAGGAAGCAATGGCTAACATGGTAGGTACAACTTACTCCTTTATGGCTAAGATAGCAAAGGGAAATTGGATAGTCGATACAGGAGCAATCAACCATATGGTAGCTGATTTAGGAATGTTAACAGATGTTAAGGACATTAGCCCTACTAGATACAAAAGAGTTCACTTGCCTAATGGAGATTGTACAATTGTGTCACATGTTGGTAATTGTAAAATCACAGAAACAGGGGAAGTACAAGATGTACTGCATGTTCCTGAGTTTGCATACAACCTGCTTTCAGTGTCAAAGATAACAAGAGACTTACATTGCTTTGTCTCCTTTTACCCTGATTTTTGCCTATTCTAGGACCTCTCAAATGGGAAGGTGAGGGGGGCTGGTAGAGAGAAAGATGGACTTTACTTGCTGGTCCCAAAGGCTTCTCTTAAGGCTGGAAATAATACACCACCAACAGTTAAAGGACTAAGTGTACAGACAACAAAGGAGAATATATTTCTGTGGTACAAAAGGTTAGGACATGCATCTAGAGGATCTCTGAAGGAACTTCTAGGATATAAATTGGAGGATTGCAAATCTGTAATAGATAGTTGTGATGTATGTCCAATGGCTAGGCATGTGAGACAGCCTTTTTCGTTGAGCAATACTAAAGCTACTAGAGTTTTTCAATTGTTGCACTTAGATGTATGGGGACCTTGCAGTACACCAACATTTGATGGTAATAAATTCTTCCTCACTATTGTAGATGATTACTCTCGTGTGACTTGGATCTTTCTCTTGCAATTTAAAAGTGATATGATTGTTTTAAGTCATTTCTTAAGCGGATCCAAATACAGTTCAAGGGAATAGTACAGACAATTAGGTCTGACAATGGTGGAGAGTTTGTAAATTCAGCAATGCAAGACCTATGTAAGTCTATGGGAATAGTTCGCCAGAAAACCTGTATTTATACACCACAGCAAAATGGTGTAGCTGAGAGAAAACACAGACACCTACTTGAAGTTGCAAGAGCTTTCAAGTTTCAAGGTCATATCCCAATGGAATTCTAGGGACACTGTGTCCTGGCTGCAGCATATGTTATTAGCATGCTACCATCGCAGGCACTTGATGGTAAGTCACCATATGAGTTATTCTTTGGCAGGAAGCCTTCTATTTCTCATCTAAAAACACTAGGATGCTTATGTTTTGCAAGTGCCCTACCCAGGACTGATAAGTCTGCCAGTAGAGTTATCAAGGCAGTTTTTATGGGATATTCTGGATTCACTAAAGGATACATCCTCTATGATTTAGATAGACAAGCTCTTTGTCAACAGAGATGTGGTGTTCTGGGAAACTGTGTTTCCCTTTCAAGATATAAATGATGACTTTAGGAAATAAATCAATCGCGGTATTCCCGATACTACTGATGATGATTTTGGTTTTGAAGGTGCAAATGCAGATGTCCCTATTGCTGGCAACTAAGCAGCTGTATGTCTCAGATGAAAATACAGATGACATTATTCCTGATATTGAGCAGTTACATGATTTAGACAGCACTGCACATGATTCAACTGCTGAAGACCAGCCTTATATTACCACTAAAAGCACCTCCCCTATAAACAGTGATTCAGAGGCTATCACATCATTCCCTTCTCCTCCTATTGCAGAGACATATCCTAATTCCCTAAGAAGATCACAGAGGGAATCTAAGGAACCTGTCTGGCAGACAGATTATGTCACCACAAGGAAATCAGTTAACACTGTTTTATATCCCACCCATAACTATGTCTCCTATGATCATCTTTCTCCTTCTTACCAAGCATGCTTGGGTGTTTTCTCTTATGTTGTTGAGCCCAGAACCTTTCAGGAAGCTTCTAAGGATGCAAGATTGGTTGAAGCTATGCAAGATGAAATTCAAGCTTTGCAAGACAACAAGACTTGGGAACTGGTTCCTTTGCCTCAAGGGAAGACAACAAAAGGTTGCAAATGGGTATACAAAGTCAAACGCAAGGCCAATGGTGATGCGGAGAGATTCAAAGCTCGGTTGGTAACTAAAGGCTACAATCAAAGAGAGGGTCTTGATTACAATGAGACCTTCTCCCCTGTAGTGAATATCACTACTATGAGAACTGTACTTTCATTGGTAGCAATGCACAATTGGCCAGTCCACCAGCTAGATGTATATAATGCATTTCTGCAAGGTGACTTACATGATGAAATTTATATGCACTTGCCATAGGGTATTACAAGTCAGGGGGAGTCTAGATTGGTAAGTCGACCTGTAAAATCTCTCTACGGTTTGAAACAAGCAAGCAGACAATGGAACCTAATGCTAACAGAGGCCTTGTTGCAGGCTGAGTTCAAACAAAGCAACCTAGATCATTCATTGTTCATCAAGAAAAATGGAGTAGATATAGTGGTAATACTGATATATATGGATGACATGTTGGTTACAGGAAACAACCTACAGTTGATTGAAACCACCAAAGTCTTCTTACAGCAGGCCTTTAAGATTAAAGACTTAGGTGAATTGAAGTTTTTTCTTGGCATGGAGTTCAGCAGATCCAACAAGAGTACTTTGATCAACCAAAGAAAATATGCACTAGAAATAATATCAGATTTGGGATTAGGTGGAGCAAAACCAGCCTGGACTCCATTAAAGGCAAATGTCAAGCTGACAGTTCCAAAACTAGACCAGTTGCTGGGCACAACAGGAGATCAAATGTTGGAAGATGCAGGTCAATATCAGAAGTTGATCGAAAAGCTATTGTATCTAACTATGTCCAGACCAGAAATTGCATTCTCAGTACAAACTCTTAGCCAATTTATGCAACAGCCAAAGAAGTCTCATTGGGATGCAGCTATAAGAGTGGTGAAGTACATCAAAAGGGAACCAGGACTAGGGATCTTATTGAGCAGTCAAAGTTCAAATGAGATCAATGTTTTCTGTAATGCTGATTGGGCCTCATGTCCTAACACTAGGAAGTCAATGTGAGGATATCTAATTAAGCATGGAGAATCTCCAGTTTCATGAAAATCGAAGAAACAATACACAGTCTCTAAAAGCTCAGCTGAAGCTGAGTATAGAAGCATGACAGTGCAGTCTCAGAAGTTGTTTGGCTAACAGCATTGCTAAAGGGGTTGGGAACAGAAGTGAAACTACCAGTACATGTGCATAGTGATAGCAGGGCCTATGCAAATAGCATCAAATTCAGTGTTTCACGAAAGAATAAAACACCTAGATATCGACTGTCATTTTATTAGATAGAAGATACAAGAAGGGCTGGTGAAGACTCAGTATATTCCTTCAAAGGAGCAGCTAGCAGATGCTCTAACTAAAGGAATAGGAAGACCACAACATGAGTATCTAGTCGGCAAGCTAGGAGTGCTCAATGTCTTTGCACCCACCAGCTTGAGGGGGAGTGATGAATTAGAAATTACATGAAGCATTAGTGTACATCAATAAGAGATTATTATTTTACCTTGTTAATAGTAAGTATGTGTACACGTGGGAGTTAGTTAGACAGTTAATGGGAATGATTTGTCTATATATAGGTGGTACAGTACACGTTTTTCATTTCATTTTTAATACAACACTCTGCTTCTTCTCTTATATCTCTAACTCTGTTATGGCATTATTAGATTAGGGATTCCATTGTTGATTCACTCGAACTTCTTCAAACATTCTATCCTAATGCAAGTACTAGTGGCTGCTTCTAGAGCTCGATTAATCCATTTTCGAGTAGTG